TTGTCTCTGTCATCCAATAAACAACCATTTCTGCAGAATAAGAGTTAGAAACAGGGATGGGAGACGATTCAGAGAAACTGGGTGGGGAAGGACGGAAAGGAGTGGAGAATTTGCAGAGGGTGGCAGCACTCAGAGCGAGTGGTGGGTGATGTTGTTGACTTTGGTTTGACTGATGGGGAAAAGTGATTTACTGCTCAGCTGCTGGAGCTGAAGACCCAAACGGATGAAAGCGAAAGTTAAAAATCTAAAGCAGGGGAGTCTAATAGTTCTGATAAAACCTTAACAAACTAAAATATTTCAGTTTTCTCTGCGTTCAATTGACATCATTTCACATTTATGTAATTTGGTTTGATTTTTAACTAGAGTTTAACACCTGTTTACTAAAGTGTCTGAGAAACTTAAGGAGTTCAAATTGTTTAGTTCTTTATGCTAAGCTAACTAAAGATGCTACAAATGCCTACATTTATAATAGCTGTTTGTCTCATTCAAAATTACTGAGGATAGTCACAAATTGCTGCTAAATAGCTTTGTGTCCATCTATTTTTTTACTTTTTTAGCAAAGTTGGTTCTTGTTTACACATTTTCAGTTTGAACCAATATGTTTAATGAATTTCACAGTGAATTTATATGAAAAAATTTGTATAAAAAATTTAAAAAGGAAGTGTAGCGTGTATATTTATTCACTTCCCTTTATTCTGATAGTACTAAATAAAGCTACTTCTCAAGTTAAAAAAATAATAATGGAGTCCACCTGTGAGAAAATGAATCTGTCTATAAATACAGCTGCTCCATGAGCAGCTGCTCAGAGATTTATTTAGGGAATATTAATGAAGAAACACAGAAGATAACTCAAGGTTAGATCATAAAACAATATTTAAAGCTTTGAATCTCAGTTTAATCCATCATCTGGAAATTAAATAAATATTTCTCAGCCCTTGTTAGCCCTTGGGGAGCTGCAGAGATCAGCTGCTCAGGTGGAAAAATCTGAGCAGATGTTAACTGTATTAGTCATGATTCCACAAATGCAGCCATTATGACAAAAACCAAAGCAGCTGCTGGAAAGAAAACCATCAGCAGTCATGTTTAAGGTTTGTTGCAGTCATGTAGAAGAAAGTGTTGTGGTTGGATGAGACCAAAATGTTTTTATTTATTAATTTGTCTGGTGGAAAACTAACACTTCACATCACCCTAGACACGCCATCACTACTGTAAAACACGGTGGTGGCAGTGTCATGCTGTGGGGGTGCTTTGACTTTGCAGAAACAGTGAAAATGGATGAAGCTAAAACATGTTAAAGGCTTTAAAAGAATTGAAAATGATGCAGCCGGAAGAGCTACTGAATTAGAATGGTTTAGACTGGCCTAGTTAAAGTCCAGCCCTAAATCAAGTAGAGAATCTGCAGCAATAAGTGCAAACTGAGGTTTAAAAATGTAGAAAACCGCCTTTCCTTTAGTTTGTCTTGAATTCATGCATCAAATCCCAGTGAAAATTAACAAAATGTGAAGATGTGTGCGAACACGTTTTCAGGCACTCTGTTTTTCAGATGGTTCCTGTTTGTGCTCACAAATTGCAAGCGTAACTAATACTCTCCTCTTTTCTGACCATAAAAGCTGCATTAGTGTCTCGTTTTATGGCGGAGAAAGTCTCTGATGGGTAAATCGGGAGACGTAATGAGGTGAAATGCAGGCCAGAAAATTTCCTGCAGCAGCATTGAACAAACACGACTTGCCAACAACATATTAACTGCCTGCAGGATGCTGTGAATCATCACTGATTTATGACTTAATTAATGGCCGGTCAGACACACACAGAAGGATAAATTATATTGTTTTATTGTGGGAGTAACTCGCACAACGAAACGAAAATATTTCACTTGTCAAATTGAAGTTATAATCAGCAGCTCGCCTCAGATTCAGTTTTTATCTGTCAAGAAACTTTTACTTTTCTAATTAAAACTCATCATTTGGTTTGGTAAAAATAGTATTTGCTCACTGCAGTCTGAAGAATCAACAGCAATGTTTGTGTAAAACATTAATCGGGTGATGCTTTCCCCTCATGCTGTTGCCATGGTAACCGTCTCAAATTGTAACGTTCAGCTGGTCTGATGTTCCCCATCAGTAAAAATACACATAACTCGAAGTGATGTGCCTCCATCTTTGATCCTTTGTTAAGGTATTGAGTTCTGGTTCTTCTCAGAATTGAATATTAGTTTCTCCCACCAGTTTCCCTCTGAAACGTGAGCTGGTGTTTGTGTGAAAAGTAAACATGCTCTGCTGAATGTTGTAAAGTCGTTACTGTATTTTCTACTTCCTCTGTCACTGCTGGGGTTTTATATAGCAACACATAATTCATTGTTCAGTAGTTTGCAGAACAAACCGTAGTTTAAATGTCTGAACACATCAGCTTTATGTTACTAGGGAGGAATTTTGGTCCAATTCTCTTCACAATTCATTAATTATTTATGACTGTTTATATTATTTTATTTATTTGTTATTTATTTGCATTGATGATGATGGCTATGGTTTGTATGAACCAAGGTTTTAATAGTTTTGCAGGTTTTGACTAGTTACATTTTTTAGATTTTACTTCAGATTTTCTATTTTGTTTTAGTTTTTATTAATTTCAATCACAGTTTTTGAAAAAGATTTTGCATCTGAGAAATGTGATAAATAAAATAAATTGTAGAGAACAAGTATTTGATACATGGCCAATTCTGCAGGTTTTTCACTTGCAAAGCATGTAGAAGTGTTTAATTTTTTATCATAGGTGTTCTTCAACTTTTCTGGATTTTCTAAAATAAAATCCAAAAAATCACATTGTATGATTTTTAAGTAATAGAAACTTTAGTGTTGTTCAGTGCAAATTAGGGGAATAATAAAAAACGGTATTTTTCTGTACGATTCTGATAGCGATGTTACTGAACCAATAAAAAAACATCAGTGTGTCACATTGGGTCTGATATGTGCATGAAGTTGGATAAATACTATATTTTTTAACCTACATGCATAAATCTACTACTTATTTACCAAAGTTACAACAATTTCAGCATTTTTTTGTCATCTTTGCCAAGAAAGAGAAGAATAATATCTGGAAGAATCCCAGCTTGTCTTGTAACTTAGTTTTGCTTCCCAGGTTCACCGACTTCCTGTCCAGGCCAAGTAAAAGTAAAAAGATGCAGTCCAAAAAATTACTCAAGGAAGACTGTCTGGTGGACTTTTGGTTAAAACATATTTGTTTTTTATTCATTGATAGAAAATCCAGAAATTTTACTCAAGTAAGAGTAGAGATACTTATTTATTTATTTATTTATTTATTTATTTATTTATTTATTTATTTATTTATTTATTTATTTATTTATTATTTTAAACATGATAGAAGTATAACATCATACACATGAACAAGGAATGCAAAAGACATATTTTTGTACTACAGTAAACTTAACATGCTTGAAAAGAAGTAGGAAGAAGAAACTTAAAAATAAGTTCACTCAAGTAAAAATAAAAAGAACAGCTTCGCAAAAATACTCATAAAAGTACATTCTTTCAAAAAATAAGTCACTCAAGTAAATGTAATTGATTAACTAGTTACTACATGAATGAATATTGAAATAGATCTTTATGTCTATAAGCTGAATCCAGGTTTTTAAAATGCTGATTTTTAAAAGGCAAAGCTGATGGAAGTATTGTCTTTGTTGTTCATTTCTAGTGAGGGATTTTTTTAAATGAATATCATAAAAAGCATTGTGAACTTGTTGCAACCTGAAATGAACACTCACCAGGCTCACAAGGTGGCCATAAAGGAACAGGGTGTTCTGCAGCAGCTGGTCTGGTTCTCACACGGAGACTTAACCTCAACGTCATCAAGTCAGATTCACACGAAGGCTGAAACTCAGAGGCTAAACATCAACTAAAAGCATAAACAAAACTACACATTTTTATTTGTTTTACTACAAGAACTTAATGGCAAAATATAATCTGTTCTGCATCTTTACAAGTCACTCACAGCGACAATTTGTAAAGCACAGATATAACATTAATGTGAAACAAATTTGATTGTGCTGCTTAAAGGAATTTTAAAATTATATAATCAAGCAACAATAAACTCAGAAGAAGAAAAACAAAGAAAACATTATTGTATTTCTGCTTGTGGGTTCAGTTTGAACAAATATTCTACTAAACAAAAAGCATATGTTATTGACGGTCTGAAATGCCCAGAGGCACTAAATGAATGATTAATGATTTTTTTATGCATGTCATAATTATAAAAAAAAATACAAATCTGTTTTAATAATTCTTGAAATTATATGTTAATATTTTTAAATGCATAATGGCAGAGTTAAAACCAAAGTTTCATAGAGTTCAAACGGAATGTCTGCATTCATTATAAAAATTATTAGTGGTATTATTTTGCTGTTAATATTACCGCATTTTTGTAGTCCTTATTCAAATGTCTACCTGTTTGAGGAAAAAATGCACATCTGTCAATAAAACTGCCATGTAGTGTACAAACCTGTACACTAGGTGGCGATGTGCATTTTGGTTTGCGCTGTCTTGCAGCATGCATAACAACCAAATACAGAAATGCAGATGTTTAATATTAAATAATTAAAGGGGAACACGCATCTTAGACTTTTATTTTGAAAATAATTAATAATATTCCTAAGATTTGCAGACCTGTCAAGATAGTGAGATGATCTTAGATCCCAACTTGTAGGAGTTGTGAACTTGCAGAAAACTACACTAAAGAAGCCACAAAGAGAGAAATTATTCTACCAATACAGAAAAACAGAAGAAAAAAATCTGTAGTGAAGGAAGAAATTTAAGAAAATGTCTGGAATAATGGAATAAAGAACGGGAAAACAATGTGTAAGATAACAGAAACATCAAGGAGTAAGAGGAAATATATTTTATAAAGACAGATTTGTTCATACAAGTCTGAACACAAAAGAAAAGCAATGGACTGCGTGAGTGAGATCGCAAGAGACAGGTCAACATATTCTTCTGCATAGGTTTTAAGAGCAAAAAGTGAAGAATAAGTTACTTGAATTACTTTGTTTCGATTTTAGTCACATTTTAAGTAGGACATTTTTTCAGTTCTTGTAAAGTCAGAACATTTTAGTTGAATATAGGTTTTCCTTTCTGATTTAAACTCCAACTCAGAAGATGGCGGTAATACACTTTTAAAACCGTTTGGCAACTGCCAGTATAATCTATGAAGAAGAAGGAGAAGCGCGATTGGCTGAGTTACCAGTGACGTCAGTCAGACTTCAGCCCAACGTACGCAGTCAGATCAGAGGCGTCAACATGGCAGCCATAGATGTCATTGTGGAGCAGTTGGTGTCATTATGGAGGATACCGGCGGTCAGACAGTTTTTTCCCTGGTTATTTTTACTCATTTCTTTACTGGGGTCCATTCTGAAGGAACTGGACTTGGTTCCGCAGTCCTACTTCAGCAGCAGCAAGAACTTCGTCAACTTGTAAGTCCTGTCCGTGTGAGAATGGCGTCATTCAGACGTTTAAAACTGCCCACCTGCTGGTGATGAGGATGTTTAAACTGACAGAATATAACAGTAATTTTTCCTTACTTGATTTTTCAGTTGTAGCGTCACTAGGAGGAAGTAGGTCATGTAAACATAAGAGGCTGTGTTCAGATTAAATACTTATATTTAATCTGAATAGATTAAATTCTATTCAGAATTTAATCTGAATAGATTAAATTATCATTGCTTCGTTATGATAACGAAGCAATA